TGTGAGGTAGGGTAAATGTTTATCAGAGTTCGTCTACAATCGCGAATGGGTCGTGGCAGAGGATGGGACAACGCTCCCAAGAGCGCACAACAAGGTCCACAGCCTGCTTCTTGGCAGTTGTGGCGTGGTGCCAACTCACCTTCTGTGGCGCCTTGGAAGGAGCGCCCTACAGCACCGAAGAATCCGCCGAAGAAGTATGTCTTCCCCACGTACAATGGAGCTCCTGCCAATGCCCCTTTCTCCAACCCTGCGGTTATCCCCAAGCCTATCTCGGTTCAGGAGACTGGCCACTTGGTCACGGATATGCAGTCCGCCCTCAATTTTGCTCGAAAGACAGAGGCCAGAGTTGCGAGGCTACATACTGCATACTCCCAAGCTCAGGAGCAGTGGGAGGCATTCGAAACGAAGGCCAAGGCGAACTTCCAGACAGAACGCCGCAGATTCCACACGGACCTCGAAAGGATCGAACACGAAGCAGTAGAGGCAGAACGACAGCAAGCTTGAGCTTGTCCGCGCCATTGCCATTCGCGAAGCTCAAGGAGCTCCTGGCTTGGTTGCTATCCCGGAGGTGGATGGTTCTGTCAGCGCCCTCTTTGCAGGATGGGCCGACGAAGACACTCGAACTATGGACGGTGTCCTCCAAAGAGCTCTGGGAGCCGTGATTCCTCCCAGCACACCACAGCGTGTCACTGGTGTACCGCCTATGACGCCAGCTCGTACAGCACCGGAGCCAGCACCATCGCCAGCTCCCACGAGTGCTCCCACCGACCCGTATATTGCTGCAAGTATGACTTCACCGGTGGGGGTCCCTGCGACCGAGGACCGAGCTGCAGGGCCACCTCTCGTTGCTCAGATTCCTGGTCAAGCCCCCAAACACCCTGGGCAGCGAGATCGCGAACAGGCCAGGGTTGCGACCTCTGTTGCTGCCCCCAGAGCCAACATCAAAGATGCCACCAAGAAGAGTCCTGCAAAACATGCACATGTCACACTCGAGGAGAAGCTGCAATCGCGCCGCGAATCCCTGACCCAAGGGAAAGCATTGAAGCCATTTGGCGGGGCAGGCTCACAACCTCCGAGGGAACCGCCGCCAGGGTCCAATCTTGCTACTGCAGAGATTCAGGACGACGACTTGGACGACTCCATGGACTGAGCAGTACGGTCCAACTCCTGATTGGCAGTAGGATTGCCTCGGTCGCTACGAGTTGTATCTGCCTCGGAGCGAACATCCTGGTAGGGCCGTGCCACTGTGGGCTGTGTTTGGGTACAGCCCCTGTTGGACAGTTCCCTGTCGGGTATGATCGTTTCGTCGTCAGTTGCTTCTCTGATACGATTCGAGGCAATCGGTTTCACGTAGGGCGTTTGGTGTGCTTCGGCCTTCACGTCCACTCCACCTTGCTGCCGTTGTCCTCGATCACATTGTGTGCGCCTGGATTTAGCCACAATGCTGGTCCGTGCCATGGCCATTTTGCACTATGGCCCTGCAATTCTGCCTTCCTCTTTTTGCATCCTCCATGTTTCCAGCGAGCGCATAACAGCCACATCGGTTGCTCTGGGGTGGCGGCCGTTGGATTTTTGGAGGCCTCTGCCGATCTGCCAACCATGGTTTGGGGCATTTCGGGTGTTAGCCCTTTCGGGTTTTGGTTTAGTGGGAATGATGTGAGAGCGCAAAATAGCTACATCGGTTGCTCTGGGGTAGCAGCCTCACATCCACCCCACTGCCTTTTTCATGCCAGCGCCTGCGGTGTCGGAGTTGACGAGCCCCACAGTCACTCCACTACCCACTGGCTTCTTGGGGCTGCCTGCTTTGTTGTGCCCCTGTTCGGGAGCCTCTTTTGCCTTTTCCCAATCCTGTTGGCCGTCCTGACCAAGCCTCTACATCTACATCGCACTCCCTTGGGCAGACTGTGTGCAATCCCTTTTCAAGGCTCCATCATTCAGCTGGTCCTGCCACTTGGGAGAATCGCTGTGACCGATCCTGTTCTTGATTGGACAGTGAGGCCCAAACAGCTCCCCAAACATCGCCGTGCAGTCCCACGATACCCTCGGACTTCCATTGGTGGTGTCTTTTGTAAGATTTTGGTTTGGTGCCTAGGCTTTTCTAGTGCCCCCAAGGTGTGGTATAGCCCTCCTGCCTGCGTCTACATCCTGCCCCTCTTAGCACATACTGCATCTGCAATGGCCAGGCCTGGTCATTCTGACCATCCAGTCATACCACGGCCACATGAACTGCCTCCCCAACAGCTCACCACAGCCGTTGGCACTTGCGATGTACATGTGTCCCAGGAGGACGACAGGCAATACCATCCGCTTGCATCCCACATTTACCAGGGTTCGCTGCCGCGGCATGATGCACCGACCAATACTGCTGGTGACCGTTGGCTTGGGGTTTACTGCTACTCCCCTCATTACTGCACACAGTCCTTTGCCATCAGGGTCACCGAAGCTGACGGACTGCAAGAAGTCCTTGATAAAATCCAGCAGCTTGCACCAGGACACCAGACCGCATTTTGCGATACGGTTCGTCCTTTGCGCCCTCAAAGGATTGAGGGATTTTTATCCGTCATTCAGTTTCCCAGCGTCATTCGGGCCCTTCAAGATGGATATGCAGCCGTAGTTGCAGACCTCACCAGAGTAGGAGGCAAGTATTTTCCTGTCATTCTTCCCAAAAGAATGTCATACGATGTGCTTCACGAATACCTTCGACCCATGACCTCTGCACTTCATGACGAGGTTTGCATTTACATTGGCAGCCGTTCGAGGCCATGGCCCCCTCAAGCCGAGGTCGTCCTCGACGATGGCGAGGTTATTACTATGCTTGCTGCAGGTACCCCTCCGCCCTCCAATTCCAGAGCGACCGACCTCTTTGTTGCTGATGTCCCTTGGTGCCCGATGCACCATTTCTTTCGGGATGAAAAGCACGAGGCTGTCTGCATTTTATATCGCGGGCATCGATACAGTTTCAGCAGCCGCCATCATGTCGGGCTCACCTTGCTGGATTTTGTCTGTGACAGGTTCCGGCTCGACAAGAACCGAATCCTGACCTGTGCTTTTCCAATAGAGGATCTCGACGTCCAAGGCGACCTTTGCTCTGTATTAGTAGCCGTGCAAGACCTGCCTCCCTCTGCCACAGCTGATCGACAGCTCCGTCACGACTGCTTTACCTTGCTCGACCTCAGGCCTTTTGGCCTTAAACCCCAATTCCTACACACACATGTGCCCACACATCATGTTCCCAGCATTGCTGCCGATGTTGGCATTGCTCTTCCCAGGCACCTTAGGATTGGGGTTTTAGGCGGTCGTCTTAGAGATGAGGTTGTTACGGCAGAACCCAATACCACTCTGGTTTTTCATCCCGTTCGCGCAAGCAGCGACTCCAGTAGCTCCAGCTCAGATGAACCTGATGGCGATCCCGAGCCTGCAGCACAGGTCGCATACCTGCAACCGCCAGCCGGCCCCCCGCCAGCGGTCCCTGTGCACGACGACTCAGTCGAGTCGTGGCCGCCTCCCTGGGAAACTCATGGCGACACTGTTGCGGAGTTTTATGACGTTACCCTTCCATCCGAACACAGCTGGAATGAAGGTGCTAACAGTCGTGCGAACAGCCGTGGCACCGCAACGCAGGGCACTGCCTGGTCACCCATTGATGGTCATCCGGCTCCACAAGTCATGCCCGCACCTGAGGATGGTGGTAGCGAAGGTGCGGCCGCTCCCGCCCCTCATGTTGATGATGTTGCCGAGTCTGAGCCTCGCATTCCACTATTTGCGCTTGTGTATGTGCCAGACATTTTGCCCGAGCTCCACACCGTACACTTGCATGTCCCCTGCAGCAGAAGTCAGGCACTCACAGGCCTGTTGTCTGGCAGGTCTGGCGACAGTGCTATGTACTTTCCTGCTGTGATTCCAGTTGTGCCCCAGCCGGACCCCGCCTTTATGATTTTCGTTGCCAAGCCTGGCTGGTTTTGCTCCAAGCCTGTAGTCCTGTTTGATTGCCGGCGCATTGATCAGACAATGTTCGCACAGGCTGTCTTTCCGGAACTCAACCGAGAATCTATTCTGCTCGCAGCCGGTCGCAGGCCTCGCGAACAGTTTGCTGTATATGTGCACGGCTTATTACAGCCACTTCACCAAGGACAAACCATCTCCCTCACTGATGGGATGCTCATTACATTAGTCCCCTTGGGCTGCGGGGCTCCTGCAACTGCAGATCTTGCCAGTCGTTTATTGTGCACGGAAGGATGGGGCGACGAAGATGCTCTGCCAGGGCCGCCTATGTTTCCAGGCAGACACCATTGGTTATTGACCGATGGCCCATCTATCAGATTTACCATTGCTGATGATCGAAGGCCCCACTTTCGAGATGACATGCTTGCTGCCCTTGGATCCGAACCCCACCGTCTGACTGTGAAACCTTCGGTTCCTCGCATCAGCACTGGTTTCTTTCAGGGATTTAGAGTCAATGGTGTTTTGGTTGCCACCGAGCAGGTGTGTAGGCTTCCAGTCCCACCAGCCAGGAGTGCAATCCCTAACACTATTCTCATCCTTGACTGTCGGTACCTCTTGCGGGCTTTCATGTGGCAGATTGTGCAAGGTCACGAAATTCCTGTCCAGACCCTCGTCAATCACTTTCTGGACGAGTGCCCTACAGGACACATAGTGACCATCACAGGAGCTACTGTTCAAAGTCGCCCCACAGGGGCCGTCTTTTTGCTACGAGATGGCATTGTGCTCACCGTCGCTTATATCGAGAACCTGCTTCCTAGCGACACCTCACCAGCACCCATCGATCCCCCGGATGATGAGCTCTTTCGCTCCTCTGGGAGTGACCCTGCCGGATCTTCTGGCCCTGCAAGTGGACAGTCCCACCGCTCGACAAGGACGACCACCCACGATGCTGGCAGACCCAGGAGCCGGTCCCCCAGGACGACAGGCGGCAGTCACAGTGCCTCTGTTCGGATTGTGCCGTACGAACCACGTCAGGCCGACCCGACCTTCGTTACACGGCAAAGCCTAGCCGACATGTGGAGAACCGTATTTCCACACGATGCCTTGCTTGAAGGCATGCGGTTCCTCACCCCTGTGCTGCGAGGCTTGCGTTTTGCTGACACCTATGTTACATGCCCCTCTCCAGGCAGCCTCCTGGGCAGCCCCGCCGCTATGTCATCCTTTTTTCCCTGCCAGCCCGTGACTCTTTCCCGGCCACTAACGGCAGCCCAACAACACTGCATTGGTCTCCTCTGCAGTGCCATGCAAGCCATTTGTCGGGACCTTGACACATCACATGTGCAACTGCTGTATGCAAGTGTTCGTCACCTGCCTTTAGCTGTTGACTGCCAAGGCCCTACAGGCATGCAGCTTGAAGCCCTGACTTGCGATTCCGTCGAGCTTCCCATACAGGATACACCTGCTGTTTTCGCCATTATGACACCGGGATACACGTTTGAGTGTATAGAGCTGGACATTCATGAAGGTCAGACGGTTCCAAGCTTACTCGAAGCTGTCGATCCTGTGCGCGACCCGGGTCGGCGTTCGCTTTTTCCAGTTCTGTTGCCAGTGAATCCACAAGCCGATGCAAGATGGGGTTCCCTCATTGCTTTACCGGCGTGGGCGGTCAACTCTGTTATTGTCTGCTTTGACATGTATGCCTTGGAAGGGCGTATCTTTGCAGCCCGGGTCCCACCACTCACTGACAGATATTGGCTCCTCAGGCTCGCAGGCATCTCACCACACGCTGCTGTTGAGATCACTTGCCCTTGCCTTGATGGGTTTGTTGAAGACGGACATGAGGTCCGCTTGGCGCCTGATGACTGTGTTACCTTTGTCGCCCCTACCACAGACAACGAGCCCATAGTGCACCTTGCTGAGATGCTCGGGACTCACCTTGGGTGGGCTTCCGGCCCCCCTTTTCCTGGCCAGGCCTCTGACGATCGCCTCTGCATTGTCTCTGACGACCGGATCATTGACTTTGTTGTTGAGCCAGTTCGATCAATGTACTATAAGGCTGATATTGCCTTCAACCTTGGCCTCCGGTCTTGGCTTTTGCACCTCACGCCAGCCCAGCCCGCAGTTCGTGATTCTGCTGTGTTTGGGCGCCCACAGCGCACGGTTCTTACTGCAGGCGAGCATTTCAGACGAGGCGGAGCCACTGAGTTGGTCGTCGGGATCCTCGATGGCAGGCCTTTGCTGCAGAGTTGGCAGCGACTGTACATTCAGGACGGTTGGCTTGACTTGAACCGACTTCGCCAGCCTGACAGATATTGCACCAGCGGGTTGGCATGTCTCCCTGCCCGGTTGTCCGGCCCACTGGCAGTGGCTTTGGTTTCAGCCAGGACAGATCCTCAAAGCCGTTTTCGGGCCCAATTGTGGATCCAGCGATGCACCAGTTCCCTCTGCGCCAGTCGATGCCTCTACACTACTGCCCGACGTCACCGAACAGGCCAGTCAATCAACTGACGTGCAATCGTCCCCAGACAGCTCTGCCCCGATGACCAGAGCCCGGGCCGCCGCTAATGCAACTTCAGGTTCGCGTGCTCGGGGGTTTCTCCCACTACACCCCCTTTTCCTTTTGAGCCTGCTGCTTTGCGCTAGCACCGTCACCGAGGTGCTGGCATTACTCTGTGCATATGGGTTCTGTCGAATGCACACTCAGCGACACCACAGCCTTGCAATTGTGTGTCTTGTCACCGCACTTGCACAAGCTGCACAGGCTGCAGGAAGCCCGTGTGCTCCTTCCACCAGTCTTGGCCAACATACTGTTGCCGACACAGACACCACTGGTACCGTGCGCCCCATTCCCACCCCCGCTCGCAATGCCTTCCGCCTTCCGGTCGTCCAGGATGTGACTTTGTACGAAAGAGTCCCCGAGGCTAGCCCTCTGCTACCCGACGATTGTGAAGGTTGGGACCTTCGGACACTGCTTACTGAGGCCGTATGGCAAGAAGGCAGCACAGCCTTCCTTGATGCGAGAGCTATCCTCGAAGTTCTCACCGAGCACTTTTCTCAAGAACCAATTGATGACGGCACCGATCCTGTTACCGTCTGCCTCGAGACACAACTGCCAGTGTCCTGCCATCAACAGCAGACGCTACAGCTTCAGCGGTTCCTGCCTCACTGCCTCCCTGCTGAAGATATCGATTGGCTTGATTCTGATCTCACTGGAGTCTTGAGGTGCCGCTCACTCCCTCTTGAAGTTCGCACCAGCCTTGTCAACATTCCGATATGGTGCGGATCGGGGTGCCCCCAGCCTGACAGCATTGAGGTGTATACTGATGGCTCCGCCTCAAGCAGCGCCCAAGATATTACACCATGTGCATGGGCTTTCGCCGTTTTTGTTGTCTCCGCAGGGCGTTCCTACCTCTTAGGACACGCCTCGGCACAATCGGTACCTCCTGACACCCCTTATTTCCTCGGCGAAGTGCTGGACGATGCGCTCACCTCCGAGCTGCTTGCTTTGTGCTGGGCCTTGAGTTGGGCTGCGCAGCATTCGTTGCGCTACGAGGCACCGTTACACTTTTTGTACGACGCCCAAAGCGCTGGGTACGGCACTTTCGGAAAGGCCAGGCCTGCGCGCGGGTCCCGCCCATCTCACTATGCGCCCCTTGCTCAATTTGCTGTAGCGCTCAGACAGTACCTGAATGCCCGCCGAGCCATCACACACGCGCATGTGAAGGGACACACAGGTCAGCTCGGAAACGAATTGTGTGATGCCCTTGCCAAGCTTGCTCGCCGTGATTCTGCCACTGCATTCGACCGATGTCTGCCAGACTGGCCTTCGCGCTGGGCTGCACACCCCCTCGCCGAATGGGCGTGGGCTACTGTCCCAGGCCAGTGTGACGTCCCTCGCCTCTTTTGCTTTGACGTCGAAGTTGACCTTGCACAACATAAACCTCTCCCCACGGTGGCCCCGCCTCAAGAAGCAGTCATCAACTCAGCCGGTCCTGCTGGGGAGGTGCACTTTGCGTTCTCCTGCGTGAGCCTCAATGTTTTAACATTGCGCGATCGCCCAGCCGCACCGGGACAGGAAACCACTGTTGGCATGCGAGTGCTTGGCCGCAAAGATGTCCTGAAGGCTTCACTGCAATCTGTTCAGCCTCTCTTCGTAGGACTCCAGGAAACCCGCTTGCCACAATCCGAGTCTCAGCCTGACTCCGACTACCTGATTTTTACTGCTGCTGCCACCGAGCAGGGTACTGGCGGCTGTTCACTGTGGATTGCAAAGGACATACCCCTGTTTTCATGTGGAGGTGTGCCCACGTTTATACGACAGAGCGATGTGACAGTCACTGCTACATCCCCTCGACACCTTGTGGCTTTGATCCAGACTGCCAGGCTACAGCTACAGGTGCTCGTCCTACATGCTCCGTCTGCTGCCACCATGCCAGCCACAACTGTCAGGGACTTCTGGGATGCCCGGGCCACCGATATCGTGCAAAGACCCGAAGGTTCGGACTTCCTTGTGCTTTGCGACGCGAACTCCAGACTAGGAGACGTAGTCTCGGAGCTTGTGAGCGACCATGGTGCCGAAGCCGAAAACATCGCAGGTGGACTTTTTCACGAATTTCTTGCTAAAGTCGATGCCCTAGCACCTTCCACTTGGTCACAGTGGCACTCCGGGTCCCATGCTACCTGGGTCTCCTTTACAGGATTGCAATCCAGGATTGATTACATCTTGGTACCCCGAGAGTGGAAAGTTGCCGCCTTGCAGTCGTGTGTCCTCCCACGAGTGGAACATCTACAGCTGCGAGATGATCACTTTCCAGTTCATCTCCTTTGCCAATTCGCACGCCAACTACCCAAGCTTGTCCATCAGAATGTGAAAAAGCAGGTGGTACGCCCTGGCCCTGCCGCTGCTGGCCCAGCCGCTTGCGCATTGCTGAATTCCACAGTCCCCGTACAAGCCTGGGACGTCCCCATTGACGAACACTATGGCGTACTAGCGCAGGCTTGGCGCACTGTTGGGCGGTCTCTGGAGCCCGATGCCACACCTGTTCCCCGCCAGCCGTACCTTTCTGCAGCGACTCTTGAAATTGTGAAGGCACGCCAAGACAGCAGGGTACGCCTTAAGTTCTTGTGCCGAGAGCGTGCCTACCGCTGGAAACTCATTTCCTTTGCTGCTTTTGTCAATCACGCCGGCCACCTTTCTTTCAGTCACGCCAGAACTGCCGTCGCTGACAGATGGCTTCGTGACCTTGATGGCGAGGAGGCGCGCATGCTCGCGCACCATGTGCGCCTTGGCCGCGACATCCGGCGCTCTGTCGCCTTTGACAGAACTCACTACCTTGATGGTCTTGCGTCTGAGGTCGCGCAAGGCAATATCGGTGACGCTAAGGCTCTTTATCGAGTACTCAGACGCGCTTTTCCTGCAGCGCGCTCCGCCAGACGACAAGGGATCACCCCACTCCCGATGCTGATGCTCGAGGACGGGACTGTCGCACAGACTACCAGCGCTCGAGCAGAGGCCTGGCGCACGCACTTCTCCGCACAAGAAGCTGGTATAGCTGTTAGCGGCCCTGAGTACGCTGAGGCCTTCGCACACTGTACCATTATTCAGGCACGGAGCTTGGATGTCTCCCTTGTTCCCACGCTTGCTACTGTCGAGAAACACATCCTCGCTACCAAGAGTGCCCGCGCTGCCGGCCCAGACGGTATCACTGCCGAACTCCTCCGCCTGGATGCACCTATCACAGCGCGGCAGCTCCTCCCTGTCTTTCTTAAGGCATCCCTGCATGTGCAAGAGCCCATCACATTTCGAGGTGGTGACCTCGTATGCTTGGCCAAACGCGCGGGTCAGGCTCTAACGTGCGAGGCATATCGATCCATCCTTGTCTCTTCGGTGCCGGGGAAGCAAAACCACAGAGGACTTCGAGAATCTCTGAAGCATCTCCTTCTAGGTAGCCAGCCACCTTTCCAAGCAGGTGTTGCCGCTGGACAAGGGATCGAGGGCATAGCCCTCGCAGTTCGCACCTTTTACACGCTCTGTCGAGCCAAGAATGTGCCAGCCTCGCTCGTCTTTTTCGATTTGCAGGCCGCCTTTTATCAGGTGCTGCGGCAATCTCCGGTAGCACCGTCACTTGCGCCC